TCTGTAAAGATTTGCTCTTCCAACTGTGTCAGAATGTACCCTGGTGAAATTCTGTTTAGAGGCCTAACTGATGGTGAAGTTGTGCTCAATGACTTACACATTGCACTCTTGGTTTCAGCTTTCTTGAAATATATTTAGACTTCATGCAGTGAGTGTATTTCTTAGTAGCAAGTCCAAATGTGTATTTCCACAATAAAATGCATTATTTGTGATGCTGTGACTGTGAAAGTTCTCATTGCACATGACACGACTGAGATGCTGAATTGGAAATAATCAGAAATGAAGCTGAGCTGCATCCTGGCCCTTTGAGCTCTGAGGACCAGCAAAAGGTTCATTTTCTGCCAAATTTCTATACTCTTAATGTAACAGAAAAATATGAACACTGGTACACAAATTGGCTGCAATACAGGGAAGAACAATACTACAGAGCTGTCACAAATGTTTGGGAATTCCCTGAATGAAATGGCAGCAATAAACAGGTTTTATGTCTATTTTGGTTTTCCTTTCTCTCTGCTGTGGCCCTGTGCTCTGTGATACATTATGGGCTGTAGCACTGTCTGGCAGTGGCTGGTAGCTCTGTGTGAACACGCTGAGCCCTGGCACCCCCAGAGGTGTCACTGATGCACAAAGAGCGAGGCAGGAACGGCCCCAGGGAGCTCAGGGGCTGCAGAGCCCCCTTCCCTCTCCAGCCCTGCGTGTCCTCTCTGCCTGCAAGGACAGCATTCCCTGCTCTGTGTCACTGCTCTCCTGGCCTGCTCTGACCTGCTGATGACATTGCCTTTGCCCAGTGCACTCTAGCTCAGTGAAACACCCAGGTTTGGTGCTGGATCAGGGGAAGGGCTTGAGGAGGAGGGAGTCAAGGAGACAACTTGTTAAGAGCTGGCTGCAATCCCTATTCTACTTCCCCCTGTGTGGCTGTTGGGGAGGAGGTGGAGGAGCTGAGGATGAAGGAGTGAGGTTGAGTCTGGGAGGAAAGGGTGGCAAAGGCAGCAGGTTGTGTTTTCCATTTGCTCTCATCATCCTACTTTACTTCCAATAGGTAAATAAATTAAATTCCTTTTCCTCAAGTCAAGTTAGTTTTGTCTGTGAGCATAATGGGTGAGTGATCTCCCTGCCTTTATCTCAGTCCATCAGCTTTTCCATCCTATGCTTCACCCCCTGTTTATGGGTGAGAGGGAAGGAGCAGCTGTGTGGGTGCTGCCTGCTCCCTAAGATCACCTCTCCACAGCAGGTGAAACATGAAACAGTTCACTCTATTCAACTCTTGACTTACTCTCAAGGTAATGCCAGTGGTAAAGCAAACATATAAATCAATGCCTGGGAAGGATCAAAATAAACTCCACTTTCCCAGCATCTAGGCTGAACATTGCAGCACCCCAACTGTCAGCCTGAAAAGGACAGTGAGTCCCCTGAGCGCTCCGTGCTGAGCACAGCCAGGGCTCTGCATGATCGTCACAGGTAAAGGAAGGGACAGAGGAGGCCAGATCCTGGAGCCTGACCCTGATCAAACAGGGCTCACTCTCAAATGCACAGCACTCTCCACCGCAGAAAAACATCTCGGCTCTTTGTGTCACCCAACACAGCCCCCCTGAAGCAACATTCAAATAGTTAAGAGTGACACTGGCCCCGGGTAAGGGGATACCCAGCACATTTACATCCCTGCACCTGCCCTGCTCCCCACACCAGCGGCACCAAAATCCCCCCCAGCACCACCAGCACCAGCAGCAGCAGGAGCTCTATAAAGCTCCTCTTGCCATCCCTGACACTCCAGCACCAGCAGCCACTGACCTGCCTCAGGCACTGCTGCCACAGCCCCTTGGCCAGCACAGCTCTGCTCCCCAGCTCGCAGCATGGAAGCTTGTCACTCTCCACAGCAATCCAATGTCACTTCATACGGGGCCACCACTGTGGCCATCGTCACCCTGGAGGCGTTTGCTGGCATGTGGATAAACGCTTTCATCGTTTGTGTGCTTTGCCTTGCCTGGGTCAAAAAGAAAACCCTGAACTCTAATGAGAAGATCTTGCTGCTGCTGGGATACACAAGGATTTCCTATTTATGCCTCTTATGGATATACCACTTCCTTTTAATAATTCATCCCACTTTCCTTTATGTTCCCCCCATATTTAAATTAATTTCATCTTTTACAACCTTTTTTAACCATTCCAACTTGTGGGTATCAGCCTGTCTTTGTGGGTTTTACTGCATAAAAATTGCCAATTTCAGGAACAGGTTCTTCATCTACCTGAAAGTAAAAATTGACAGGATGGTGCCCTGGATCCTGTTGGGGTCAGGGATTTTAGCCTTGTCCACCAGCATCATTATGGTGCCCTGGATCCTGTTGGGGTCAGGGATTTTAGCCTTGTCCACCAGCATCATTATTTATGACCTCACTGAATCTCTGCAAAGTAACAACCTCACTTTCTCCTGTCTCGATAATATTTGGGAAGCAAGTTTCAGAGAGAATAAACAATTTTTCCCTTCTTTTTTTCTCACTGGATTTGGATATGCTGCTTCATTCACGGCAATCATCTTCTCTGCTGTTTTCCTTCTCTTTTCTCTCTGGACACACAAACGCAAGATGCAGAAAAACTCCATGAAGGACCTCAGCATGGATGCCCACATCAGAGCCATGAAATCTATTCTCTCCTTCTTAGTGATGTACAGCATCAACTTTGTATGTTTGGTCTTGACAATAATTTATGCCATGAAGAATGAAAATATCATGAGACTTCTTATATCCATATATCTGTGTGCTTTTCCAGGAGTTCATTCCCTTATCCTGATTTTCAGCAATCCCAAGCTGGAAAAGGCACTGCTAAAGATTCTCTCCTGGCTGAAGTGTGACTTTTCTATGAAGTAGGAACTCTGATAAAAACCGGAGCTCGTGCAAAATGTTGATCTTTCACCACAGAAAAGAAGTAGTTTAATTTCTAATGCAGCTCTCCAGGCAGTGTAGATGATACCGATGTTCACCGTTAAACATCTCAATTCAGAAAATGTCATTCATATCTATTGAGCTAAATGTTTCTGAGTTCAAGATATTATTATTGTATTTAGATTTAGCTAAATCTTTGAGCTATATTTTAGTTCTTATCAAAGTCATTTAGCCCTGATTGTAGGAATGATGCCTGTCCCCCTGTGTGCTGAAGGGATTCATGTGGGCATGAGCGTCTGCTGCAGGGGTGAGGGATTATCAGGCAGAGGCCCCTTACCTCTGCCTGAGCCCGGTGGAAGAGGGAGTGATGCTAATGAAGTGTTCAGCCCCTGCCCAAGACTCACAGCCTTTGCAATCAGAGCCCTTGGTATCCCTCATTTCCTCATCAGCTGCCTGCCCACCACCATTTACCATGGCAGCAACTGGGTATTTTGACTGCAGCCTCTCCTTCCACATTTGCACTTCTCCCAGAAGCAGACATTTGGCATTTGAAATCCAGCCTGGCACAGGATGGCAATATGACCCCCCTGTGCAGACAGGACAGCAGGATTGCTGTGCTCTCCAAAGCAGGGAACACCTTCTGTAAAGATTTGCTCTTCCAACTGTGTCAGAATGTACCCTGGTGAAATTCTGTTTAGAGGCCTAACTGATGGTGAAGTTGTGCTCAATGACTTACACATTGCACTCTTGGTTTGAGTTTTTTTGAAACATATTAAGACTTCATGCAGTGAGTGTATTTCTTAGTAGCAAGTCCAAATGTGTATTTCCACAATAAAATGCATTATTTGTGATGCTGTGACTGTGAAAGTTCTCATTGCACATGACACGACTGAGATGCTGAATTGGAAATAATCAGAAATGAAGCTGAGCTGCATCCTGGCCCTTTGAGCTCTGAGGACCAGCAAAAGGTTCATTTTCTGCCAAATTTCTATACTCTTAATGTAACAGAAAAATATGAACACTGGTCCACAAATTGGCTGCAATACAGGGAAGAACAATACTACAGAGCTGTCACAAATGTTTGGGAATTCCCTGGATGAAATGGCAGCAATAAACAGGTTTTATGTCTATTTTGGTTTTCCTTTCTCTCTGCTGTGGCCCTGTGCTCTGTGATACATTATGGGCTGTAGCACTGTCTGGCAGTGGCTGGTAGCTCTGTGTGAACACGCTGAGCCCTGGCACCCCCAGAGGTGTCACTGATGCACAAAGAGCGAGGCAGGAACGGCCCCAGGGAGCTCAGGGGCTGCAGAGCCCCCTTCCCTCTCCAGCCCTGCGTGTCCTCTCTGCCTGCAAGGACAGCATTCCCTGCTCTGTGTCACTGCTCTCCTGGCCTGCTCTGACCTGCTGATGACATTGCCTTTGCCCAGTGCACTCTAGCTCAGTGAAACACCCAGGTTTGGTGCTGGATCAGGGGAAGGGCTTGAGGAGGAGGGAGTCAAGGAGACAACTTGTTAAGAGCTGGCTGCAATCCCTATTCTACTTCCCCCTGTGTGGCTGTTGGGGAGGAGGTGGAGGAGCTGAGGATGAAGGAGTGAGGTTGAGTCTGGGAGGAAAGGGTGGCAAAGGCAGCAGGCTGTGTTTTCCATTTGTCTCTCATCATCCTACTTTACTTCCAATAGGTAAATAAATTAAATTCCTTTTCCTCAAGTCAAGTTAGCTTTGTCTGTGAGCATAATGGGTGAGTGATCTCCCTGCCTTTATCTCAGTCCATCAGCTTTTCCATCCTATGCTTCACCCCCTGTTTATGGGTGAGAGGGAAGGAGCAGCTGTGTGGGGGCTGCCTGCTCCCTAAGATCACCTCTCCACAGCAGGTGAAACATGAAACAGTTCACTCTATTCAACTCTTGACTTACTCTCAAGGTAATGCCAGTGGTAAAGCAAACATATAAATCAATGCCTGGGAAGGATCAAAATAAACTCCACTTTCCCAGCATCTAGGCTGAACATTGCAGCACCCCAACTGTCAGCCTGAAAAGGACAGTGAGTCCCCTGAGCGCTCCGTGCTGAGCACAGCCAGGGCTCTGCATGATCGTCACAGGCAAAGGAAGGGACAGAGGAGGCCAGATCCTGGAGCCTGACCCTGATCAAACAGGGCTCACTCTCAAATGCACAGCACTCTCCACCGCAGAAAAACATCTCGGCTCTTTGTGTCACCCAACACAGCCCCCCTGAAGCAACATTCAAATAGTCAAGAGTGACACTGGCCCCGGGTAAGGGGATACCCAGCACATTTACATCCCTGCACCTGCCCTGCTCCCCACACCAGCGGCACCAAAATCCCCCCCAGCACCACCAGCACCAGCAGCAGCAG